CCAAAAGAAAAAAATGAAAAAATAAAGGAAAGGAAAGAAAGGAAGGAAGAAGGAAAGAGAAAGGAAAAAAGAAAGAAAGAGAGGAGAAATCTATATTGGTCATGGATTTTGGAATATTTGTAATCCCAGTAACAGTTGAAAACTGAACCAGAAGAATGTGGGCCAGCTCCTATGGTTCTAATGGAGTTGGTCATGGTGTGTAAACTGGCAACAGCCAGTCTGACTCTTTCTGTATGAAAGGATGCTGAGAGCCCAGCAAGCTGTGGAATAATATTTGTGCACTGTATATATGTATTGCTCTAATTGTTAGTAAAAAGTTGGTTGGCTTATGGCTAGGCAGGATTTGGGGGGCAGAAAGAATACTGGGAAGAAGGAAGACAGAGTCAAATGAGTTGCCAAGCCGATGGAAAGCAGGCAGGACATGAAAGGGAGGCAAAACCAACAAGTCTTGGAGCAACACAGAGATCAATACAAATGGTTAATTTAAGTTATAAGAGTTACCCAGAATTTGTTTTCACACTCCTTTATTTCATGTACTAAGGAGGCAGAGGCAGGCAGATCTCTGTGAGTTCAAGGCCAGCTTAGTCTATAGAGCAAGTATCAGGACGGCCTCCAAAGCTACAGAGAAACCATGTCAAAAAAAAATTGACTTAGAGAAACTGCTGGATTAAACCAACCTATATGTTTTAAAAACATCTTGACTTCAAAATGGAAGTTAAAAGGTGTGTTGCTTTTGGCACGAGGCTATACTTTTGCTTCCACAGGACTTGAGAGAGTATGGATTCATTCTAGGTGATCAGGTTTAATCCAGGAAGACCCCTGATAAACCTGACTACAGATACAAAGAAATAAACCTAAAATAACCTACAAAACATAAAACAAAAAATAATTTTGTCTAACTTGTGTACGATACCCAGTCTATACTTGCATCAATACAGATATGTATGATTCATTTAAAGGTTTATATATTTTCAGAGCAAGGAGGACCAGACACCAATGAACACAAATGGCCCAGGTGATCCAGCAACCCAAAGTGTCTGTCTCTATTGAAGTTTCCTCAGAGTTCTGCATACAGAACAGTTTAAATGAGGGTGGGCTGAGTTGATTCAGCCTCAGAAACTACTCCAACCAAGACTTAACCATTATCCTGAATTTTCTCAGGGTCCCCCAAACTCGCCAATACCCATCCAAAAGAGGGAGTAGTCTAGTAAATGATGTGCAAATTCCCAAAATATTGGTTAGGGATGTTTATTATCATTGCAGAGGTGTTTGCCATGAATTGTATTTTCTCCTAGTTAAAAAAAAAGACTATACAAAGAGTTAAATTCAAAGAACTCTTCCAAAAGGAATAAAAAAGGATGATATGAAATAGAAATAAGAGGCCAGGCAGTAGTGCCACACGATAAGAGGCCAGGCAGTAGTGGCACACTCCTTTAATCCCAGCATTTGGGAGGCAGAGGTAGGTGAATCTCTGTGAGTTTGAGACCAGCCTGGTCTACAAGAGCTAGTTCCAGGACAGCCTCCAAAGCCACAGAGAAACCCTGTCTCAACACCCCTCCCTGCCCCCAAAAAGCAATAGAAATGAAAGGTAAAAGGGTAGATTGTTGAATTTATTTAAACCTGAAAGTGCCCTGAAATTCATGATCTTTGGGTTTTTAGCCTAAGACTAGATTCTGTTTATTCTTGACAGGGATTGGGAAAGTCAGTTCTGTGCACTGAGAAATGAAATCCAAGGGACTGATTTCTCCTTAAGAGGACATAGAACAATGAGTTGTGGGTTGAGGTATAATGTGTGAGGTAATAATATAGGGCATCCAGATTGGAGGGGTTAAAGTTGATATGGAAAATAGTAGTTCTATGTCAAGGGAGCAGGGAAATGCCCCTTTTGCTGAGTGTTGCCATTTAGACTTCACACTTCATTTTACCTGTAGGATGGGACAGAGATCAGGTTATGAAAACTTAGGGGGTCTTACGAACCATCTAATTCCTGACCAAGTTCCTCCTTAAACAATAGAAACAGTCTGCTATGCCCTTAGTTCTCTAAGATAATATGGCTGTGCCTAAAAACAAAAAGAGCAAATTAATTGGTTGAACATTCTGTGTCAGTTGGCTGCTGCTGTGGGACATTTGGTGACACTGTGAATCTCTGACACTGTGTTATGAGAATTAACTTTCTATCAGGGGGCAGAGCCAGGGACTACTTCACCAGAATTAGCCACAGAGAGGCTGGGAATGTGGATAAAGAGACTCACAGGAAGAAGTAGGGAGGGACTTCAAGATTCGAGGTCTTTCAGGTTTCAGATAAGTGGGGTGATAATTCTCTTTCTGGATCTTTGACCAAGAAACAAAGGTCAGTTGCTTGCTTCTCACCTTCTCTGATCTATCAGGTTTTCACCCAACACCTGACTCGTGAATCTTTAATGGTAAACAGATAAATAGAGACTCTGATGTTATTTAAATTATCAGTAGAATCAGGTGCAGCCCCACACCCACAGAAAAACATCAGATGACATTGATGGAATACTTAGGGAAACCCATAATCCCTGAGTTTTGATTGGTGAAACATGTAACTGTAACTTGGCGAGAAATGGTTGTGGGTTTTGTGTTTATGAATGCTCTTTCTGGCAGTGTTGGAAGCTACCAGAAGAAAAAAGGCTCTGGTCCTTGTCCTGCCTCCCAGATGGATCAGTGAGCCCTCTTCTACGGTCCCCTTTTATATGGTGACTTACTAAAGACTTTGGAACCCGTAAGTATTGTTTCTTTACTTATTAAAGACTTTGGAACCCGTAAGTATTGTCTCTTTACTTCCTTATGGTTCAAGACAGACATGTAACACATAGATACAGGATCCTTAAGATTCAAATAGCTTCTTATCAGCTGGGCGGTAGTGGTACATGTCTTTTGTCCCAGCCCTCGGGAGGCAGAGGCAGGCTGATCCCTGTGAGTTCGAGACCAGCCTGGTCTACAAGAGCGAGTTCCAGGACAGCTTCCAAAGACACAGAGAAGCCCTGTCTCAAAAAACAAAACAAAACAAAAATACAAAACAAAAACAAATAGCTTCTTATCTTCTAAGAGGCTTCTAGCTGAACAGTTTAAAGAAAGCCTTTTCCCTGGTTGCAATTTTGGCTTTTTTTTTTTTATTTGAATTAGAAAGAAGTTTGTCTTACAAGTCACTCCAAGTTCTCTCTCCCTCCCATCCTCCACTACCCCCCCAACTAAAACCCTTACCTATCACATATCCTTTCTGCTCCCCCTGGATGGTGAGGCCTTCCATAGGGTGTCATCAGAGTCTATCATATCCTTTGGGATAGGGCCTAGGCCCATCACTGTGTGTCTTGGCTCAGGGAGTATCCCTCTATGTGGATTGGACTTCCAAAGTCCACACCTATGCTAGGGATAAGTACTGAACTACTACAGGAGGTCCCATAGATTTTTCTCACTGAAGCCCACGTTCCTGGGGTCTGGATCAGTCCCATGCTGGTGTTGCAGCTATCAGTCTGGGGACCAAGAGCTCCCGGTTATTCAGGTCAGCTGTTTCTGTGGGTTTCACCAGCCTGATCTGGACCCCTTTGCTCATCACTTGTTTTTCTCTGCAACTGGATTCCAGTTCAGTTCAATAATTAGCTGTGGGTGTCTGCTTCTACTTCCACAAGCTGCTGGATGAAGGCTAAAGGATGGCATATAAGACAGTGATCAATCTCATTATCAGGGGAGGGCATTTAAGGTAGCCTTTATTCTGGTGCTTAGATTGTTAGTTGGTGTCATCTTTGTAGATCTCCAAACCTTTCCCTAGTGCCTGATTTCTCTGTAAACCTAAAATGTCTCCATTATGCTATCTCCTTTCGTGTTTTCTTCTATTCTTCCCCCGACTCAAACTTTCTGCTCCCTCATATCCTCCTCACCCTTCCTCTTCTCCCCTTCTCCTAGCTCCCTCCCCCCTCATCCCTTGCTCCCAATTTACTTAGGAGATCTTGTCCCTTTCCCCTTCTCCAGGGGACCATGTATGTCTCTCTTAGGGTCCTCCTTGTTTACTAGCTTCTCTGGCAGTGTAGACTGTAGGCTGGTAATCCTTTGCTCTATGTCTAAAATACACATATGAGTGAGTATACACCACATTTGTATTTTTGTGATTGGGTTACCTCGCTCAGAATGGTTTCTTATAGTTCCATCCATTTTTCTGCAAACTTCAAGATTCCGTTGCTTTTTTT